AAATGAAGTTCATGAAACTTAAGAAATTAATTAATATAAACAACCACAAATTAAAACTTGCTATAAGTCGAAATACAAAAAAAAAAAAAAACTGCAAATGAAGCAATATAAATAACTCCTGAAACATGGATGCTCAACAATCGCAATTACTTAATAAAAAAACAAAGAAACATATTCTGAACCACTTTATGATAAGACACATCCAGACAAACCCAAACACACTCTCTCGTATAATTATAGATATTCACAGTCAAATGCATAAATACAGAATTCAATACATGAAAATATTACACTCGGCGCAAATTCATAAATAAATAAACATCTATTTAACAAAATGTGACTTCCATTTTCCATAGTCAGTTGGGGTACATTTGGTCAAGCATCTATAATCGAACTATAGCTGAGATCCAGTAAGGTTAAAACCATGTTTAAGCAAGGCGTAGTTAGGGTATACTGGAGCAACATTCAATCTCAGAAAGAAAAAACTAGTAAAAAATATATATGTTTAATTTTGCATATCATTCTCTTTATTTCAGTGAGAGAAAGAGAGAAATCTGTAGCCTAAAGTAAGCGGTATTTTCTAGCAGAGCACTCCCGCTGGATCATGCCCACTTATAATTAATATCACTTAAGCTTGTGTAGCTCGCTCGTTAAATGCAGGTAAGTAGATGCTTCCACGGCGTTGACTTTCTATTTCAGCTGAATCCCATTCTTATGACCGGAAGCACATTGTTGGTTTGAATCGTTCCATATCACAAATCATATGATATATTTAAATTTTTTTTGTTTCTACGCATTCTAGCTACGTTCTAAGCGCAGTTAGCTGAAAATGAAAAACTCCCTCAAATGTATGCATTAAAAATTCCTCGAAACTTTATTATTAAACTGTTGATTTTATTAAAATTGTTATATTTAGCCCAGTTTTTAGTTATTATTTTCAGTTTTATCTTGATTAAGGGTTAACATAATTCATAATTGAGAACTAAAAACTAATAGATTTTTATATGGAATTCCTTTTTGACATCAATCTAAACTAACAAATAGACGTGTTTGTTTGTAAGCTCTAACGAGTTCATTACGACTGAATGGGACTTTATATTTTGTACGTTTTAAGAGTAGAGTGATTTTTTTGTTTTTATTTATTTTTTGTCATGCATTAAATTCCATATGCTTATGTTAATTAAAAGATTTACCACAAATATTAAGAGAGACGGACTCGACTCAACTTGACTCAACTCGACTTCACTCCACTTCACCTCACTCGACTCGACTCGAATAGTTATTTAGCATTAATGATTCATGCACGGATACATTTATTTATGCATTAGACAATTAAGGAAATGTTCATTAAGTATAGTTTAATTAGAGTATGTTATCAATGTGTTTTGGGATCTCCTATTATAGCGTTTACTTATAAACAATTCAAATCACTAACCACGTTTGCTGCTGTTAAGTATATTAAAAGTAGGTTTTCCGCTTCTTCTTTGTTTTAAGTTCAAATTATAAATTATAGAATTTTGCAATTTAGCAGAGCTATGAATTTAATGAACTTGCCTTGAAAATTCATTAATTGTTTATCTCCTTCTTCCACATCTTCTTTTTTATACATTTAATCGTAATTTAAATAGCTTATGTTGGAAAAATTATTATCATAATTTACATTTACTAGGTACATTTTGATTTAATATAGTTTCAACTAAATGCGAATGCAATATATTTAGTTAAAAAATACATAAATTTATTTAATTTGTTTTGTTTTGTTTAATTTGAATTAAGCCAAAAATAGTTGCTAAACACTTTGAAGGGTCTGCTCCTGGCTAGCTAGCTACACTCATAGAACATCATCAAATTAAGTATATATCTATATATATAGTATATATATGTTTGTAGATAGTTTGATTTGGGAGTAGCTTAGTAGACACTTACACAAATTTAGTTACTCTTACTAAACATTCAGTTGCTAAAAACAATGACAATGATGTTTGCTTTAGCATTAGGTTTATCAATTGATTAAATATATATATATATATGTATATATATATATATATATATATATATATATATATGTATATATATATATATATATATATATATATATATATATATATATATATATATTTATTTATTTATTAATATATATTTAATGAATAAATTTGTAAGCGTTTCAATTTCATTTTTTAGTATTTTACTAGTAGACATTTAAATTTTAGTATTTGTTTTATTTTTACTTAAACTCTGAGTTGAGTTTGCTTGCTGGACAGTTGCCATGCAAAAACTAGGTAGGTTGAATCTTGGGGTGGTTTATTAAATAGGTCGCATAGTTAAGTTAAGTTCAAGTTTACTGACATTCGCCTCCTGCACTTGTCTAAAATTTCATTGTTTTTTCTAACACCGATACTGAAGCGCATTTGCTAATATTGCCATTTATTTGTAAGCTAGTTCAGAAGGGAACTAGTTCATGATATTTAGGATACGTTAGGTGTTCGTGAACTGAATAGGTAGGAAATATCATTTATCTCACAAATCTATAACACAGGACAATAAATTCTGTTGAAGCTTAGTAACCAGGTAAGCTGCTGTATGAGAATCTAAGATCTCAAGTCTTTGAGTTATTCTAAGAAGTTTTCAGGTTTTATAAAATCAAGTTGACATATAATCAGTTAGGTAATCTGAAGGTACTATGCCTCTACTCCAAAACTCTTTGAAAATATTTTAATTTTCCTAAAAATATTAGCAATTCAATTTACTAAACACGCCCGCTCGCTTTCCTATTCAAGCTTCTCTGTGGAAAAGTTTAAATTTCTTGGTTACCAGAAGCCGTTGTCCTGTGCTTCCAGATAAATAAGTAACACTCGTTCAGTATTCAAAGAGAGTTAATTTGTTCACTTAAAAACCTTTGATCTGCGATCCATTTGATAAATCACTTGGAAGATTTAGTCCTAAAGCTGACGGACGAACGGACGGATGGCATGAAACCAATATACTCCTGCAGTTTGGTGAACGAGCATGAGATTAACGAAAAGTTAAATGCCAATTTAAGACTTGATATTTAGCTGTTGTTTAAGAATCGTAATGGAAGAGCTTGTGCTTAACTAAGGGGAATTATATCAAACCACATTGATTGTCTCGACTCTACGCACAGTTGCATTCAATGAACGCGACGTGTATTGAATATAAATATAAAACTTTTGCTGAAACAACAATTGTATTGTGTATGAAAGGTACAATGTAAAATAAACTTTTGTTGTTTTCTATTTATTGTTGTTGTTGTTGTTTTTTGTTATTGTTATTGTGTTTTTTTCTCCCTTGCTTGCTGCTGTCAGCAATGTTAAATGTTCGGACAGCTCGAGCAATTGTATTAAGCCTGCCTGTCTCATCTCAATTTCGTCTCTGGCCACTGATATGCTAACGCTTAAATTATATTTTACTATAGTATTATGGAAAAGTAGGCCACACGTGGCGCATTAACTATTCGAAAATAAAAAAATACCAGTATGAATGTGCTAGTCGGATGTGCCCGACAAGTGAATACCCTGAATGTTGCTGCTGCTGAGCTACTGTTTCACTTGTTGCACAAATCCAACTACAATTTATGCTTTTCAGAACTTCGTTTCTAGTGGTAAAATTTTTAATGAAATCATCTGTTATGAAATCATCTATTATTCAAATTAAATTCTCAAGATCTGCTATAAAAGCTGAGTGAAAGTGTCGATATTTATCCATATTTAGAAAATGGAATGACAGCAAATATAAGATTGCCTATTTAAAATGTCAGCTTTAATACTTGAATACTTGAAAGTATTGACGGACGGGCCAATCTAGCTCGACGCAGCTCGTTGCACTAATCCAGAATATATAGACTTAATGGTTTTGGCCACGCCTACAACTGCCTGCATAAAAACAGTATGCACTGCTTATTCATTTGAGGGTGTTTTCCGAAGAAGAAAAAACATGTGCATGCTACATGCGGCAGGCAGTTGCATGTTGCATGCTGCACAAGGTCGAAAGTTTCTATTGTTCTGTGCTCGCTTTGTTGCTGTCGCTCGTTTTTGGCATATGCATTAAAAATGCAGTTATTTAATAAATAAATCCAAAGAATATGAAATTTAATCGAAAAATCGTGTCGAGCTTTAAGCTCGCCATAATTAATAAAAGCGGTTTTAATTGTCAAGAGCTATTTTTATCGGTGGTTGCTTTGCCATTGCAGAAATAGATTTCAAAAATATTTTTAAATTTGTTAAAAAAAAATCAGAAAAAAAATTGTACATAACTTAATTCAGCTTAAATGTTGAATATTTTATTTTTATTATTTAATTGACTGCAAAGTTCAGAAAAAAATACTCAGTGGCATTCATCATTAGTGAAATGAGTTTCGTGTCAAAAAAAATATAGAGATATATATGAAATGAAATGAAATGAAATAAATTGAGTTGAATTTTTTATACATTGCCGGGGGAAATGGGCAATTACACAGAGTTAAATGCAATTAGTTGAGTTGAGCAATTAAAAAACACGCACAAACGGATATTCACGAAATATATGTATGCGAAATGTATGTATATGTGTGTGCATGTGTGTATACATATGTCAAGTACCTATGCATATGACTTAGATGTGTATAAATTGCAGTTATTCCATAAGTTTCTCTATTCTCGTTTTGGTTTTGTGTAAAGTAAATCGTGTTGGATTTCATTTCGTTATCAGATAACCAATTCCTTCTCCAAGTTCTTTGCTTGTTTTTGTTCACTTTGGTTGGTGGTTTTGTTTAGTTTGTTTGTTCATTCAATATTATGAAATAAAGTTGTTCGTTTTGCTTTTGCTTTAAATACTTTGATATACATTCAATAAGTACATCAATACATATATATATAAGACCAATTCGCTTCTGACGGCAGGATTTAATTCATAATATGCTTCAAAAGTGACATATATTAAATATTTATATTCAATTTGCTATTCATTTTCACACTTATAAAGGTTAAAGTTTTACATTTGGTTGCTGTTCGTTCGATATTATTGCCTAAAAATAATATTTAATACTAATATGTTGTTTCTTTTCGCTCTGTCGCGCTGCTGTTATTGCGACTGGACTTAACTATGTGCTGCCCAAAAACAATTTATAGATCTATCAGCGGTATTACAGTCCTCGTATCCCGCATCTCTGGCTCCTCTTGTCATCAAAGGTCATTGTCGAACATCTGCAACGAACGTGTCACCAAATCGTCCTTGAGGCATGCCTCGAGAAACTCTTCTATCGTTATGATGCCATCCTGATTCAAATCCAATTTGCGAAAGACTCGATCCACCTGCAAAAGAGGAAAATCATTTTTATTAACTATTTGCAAACATCAAATCCATTTCCCATATTGCTTTAAAGTTTTGTCAGTTATCCTTGCACACCTGCACCTGCGCCTGCACGTGCCCCTGCACCTGTATCAATAATGTACGCAAAGTCTTTTTCATTAAATAACATTTCCGGTGCTTTGCGTTGCCAATCCATTTCCCTTGAGCTGCAACCACACATACACGCACTCACACACACACGCACAGCCAGCCCTCTCTCTACTTGCGCAACCATAATTGCTCATACGCCGCGTAAGCACCGTCCCTTTGCAGCGCTGCGGATGCTGCACGAGCATATCAAGCGCAGCCGTTGCATAAAGAATGCTGCATAACAAATGACACCCACGCACACACGTCAAACATAAGCTGAACTGCACTCAACATCGATTCAATAGAGTTTCATATTTTATAAGCATTTTTGTTCAAGTTTGTGTTTAAAGAATTAATTCTTTAATTCAAACAATTTTAATTGAAATTGGATGAGTTCCATAATATATTTTATTCTTATTTATTTTATTTTTTTTTCTTATGGAAAGCAAGATGTATAGAGTGGATTATTTAGTATGAAAACCATTTGAGATTCAGGAGTATTAAGAATTCAGGAATTCTGAATAGATTTGTGTGCTGCCAAGTTTTGATTAAAATCTTATTGGTTTCGATTAGAAGACCTAGTTATAAAATTCTTATCATCTTATGGTCTTGTGTTATATATTTTATGGTTTACTCTAACGAGTATACGTATGTGAATATGAATGTCTGGATGGTTGTATATGCTTTGACAGCCATTAAATTGATTTGTTCTTGTTTCCATTTGATAAGAGAGATCATTGACTCAGGTAAGATCTAGCAGAAATATAATCACATGTATTGGAGGACTTTTACTTTAAGTCAGACACTAAGCTTATATATTTATTGTTGTTACCAATACGAGTACTAGATTTTCAGTTCACCTGATCTCTGGCCTTGCGATCGTCCTCTGGCTGGTGAGGTCTTCTGCCCATTAGCTCGTGTATGGCCAAAACAATTTCACTGAGCTCCCCGCGACTTATGCGACCATCGCCATTCAGGTCGTACAACTTGAAGGTCCAGCGCAGGCGCTCATAGACGGAGCCGCGTAACAGAGTGGATAAAGTAACCAATAAATCCTACGAATATATGAATATTTATAGAATGAATATAATGAAATAAGGAACGGCCATAATAATGAACACAATTACCCGAAAACTAATGGCGCCATTGCAGTTAACGTCGAAGGCTTTGAACACATAATGAGCATATAAACTGGAATCTGCGGAAATAGAAAATTTCAAGATGTTTTAGTACTTCCACTGAGTGCTCAGCGAAATAGCGACTACGAATCCCAAAAAAACTAGCGTATATAAATGAAATATGGGGTCTTAAGTGGCGCACAGCCATAAAAGAAGCCATTGCATTCACACACATAATAATGCGAGTGTACTATATATATATATATGAATATATATGTATATACACCCCCAGCTCAAATACTTACTGCCGTGCGGAAAGAATTTGGCATAAATATCCTTAAAACAATCCTCGTGCACCACGCCCTCCGGACATTCCTGCAAAAGCAAAAAGGAAATCTCTGTGAAATTATGACTGCAAATAGAACGACCTTCTTCAGTATCCCACCCGACTTACTGGCTTATAAATCTAAATGTGTTTGTGTTCTGGGAAATGCTTTTAGTTATTATCAACTTTTTTCACTTCATATGTTAATCATTTTGCTGCATAAAAACTTAATTTGAGAGCTTTTGGACTGAAGCTTCTCTTATGCTCGATAAATTTATGATATTTCAATGAACAGATGAAGATTCTAGCTAACATTTGTTATATTTAACATATCTTTCTCTCTCTGTCTCTTTCTCTCTTATTCTGTCGCTGTTTCCCTCTGTCTCTCTATCCTCTCCAAACTTTCTTCTTTTGGCGCTCCCTCATTCTCCCTCTGTCTCTCTCTCTCTTCAGGCTACATCGCTATCTTTCTCATTATTTCTATCTCGTATCATTCCTCTCAGCGTCTTTTCCTATCACTGTCTCTCTTGCTGTCTCTCTCTCTCTCTATGGCGCTCTCACTGCCTCTGAATAACTTTCTCTCTCGAACTATCTCTCTCATGTCCTTTTTTTCTCTTTCTCTCTATTTCTCACCCAGGGGTGCCTTTCTCTCTCTTTCACTTTGTCTGCATCTCTTTCAATTAGTCTCTCTTTGTCTTTATATTTTTCTATCTCTCCTTTTCTCTCTCTTTTTTAATTTTCTGTCTTTGACACACTCTGTCCCTTTGACTCGCTCTTTCACTTTATTTATCACTATCTCTTTTTCTCCCTCTCGCTCTATACTTCTTACTTTCTTTTCCTATGACTCTCTTTGTCCGTATTCAGTTTTCTTATCTCGCTCTTTTATCATTCTCCGTATTATCTCGGTCTGTCTCTCTTTCTCATCTTCTTGATATCCCTTTTTACCTACTCTACATATTCCCTCTCTCTTTCTCTCTCTATCTCAGTTTCTCTTTCTCTCTCTGTTTCTGTTCCTCTATCTATCTGTCTATGTCTCTCTTTCGTTCTGTGTCACGCTCTTTTCCTTTCACTGGCTCCTTCTCCATCTCGCTCGCTTTGTTGGCCTGTCTCTGTCTCTTACTCTATCTCTCCCCTTCTGTTTTTTCTCCGACTCCTTCACAGTATGTCCTTTCTTAACACCCGAACACTGAACGTTGCGCTGCGCTTTTGGCTCATAGATTTGAGTGCTCATGTGCGATTGTTTATGAATTTGTGAATGGGACCAAATGGCAATTGGATTGTGCTGTGCTTGGCGCTTGGAGATGGGGCGCGTGTCCACTTACCGTTTTAAATCCTCTGTACATGACGCGAATTTCCTGCTTGGTGAACTTGGTTTGGCGGCACAAGTCCTCGAGAGCGACCGGAATGGGTTTAGGCACGCGTGTGTGTTCTAACTCATAGACCACCTCCTCGATGGGGCTTTCCGGCGGAGATGCCATGGTTGTTAATCCAAATGTTAATGCGAATGCGAATGCGACTGCTGCTTGTGTTGTTGCTATGCAATGCAAGCTCAGTTGCTTATTAATTTTAATTTGTTGTGTTTATTTATAGCCTCCGCAGCTTCAGCATAATATCAATTTCGCTTTTATGCGCTCATAAAAGCCAGGTCATTAACTGAATTCGCTGGCTGTTGGGCCATTTTACGTATGTCCTTGTAAGCAGCTCGTTTTTTCCTTTTATTTTTATTTTTTGGTTTCAGGCGTTTTTGGTTTTAGTTTCGGCTTCGTCTTTCCTTACCTTAATGCAGCAATGGGATTTTGGGCGCTAAGTCGCTAATGAGGCAAGCATCGCTGAAAAGAGCCAGAAAAGTAACATGAGCAATGGGCCAGAATAACAAGTTACATAAATCATGGGGGCCAGGCAGCCAGCCAAGTGCACAACGGATGCCCGACCAAGGACGCAAGCTCATCACGAGCGCAAGTTGCGGTTAGCTGTTCCTGTCTGCCTGTAAAGGCCAACTTTCAGCTGACGGAAGTGCAACTTGTTGTTGTTGAGTTGCAGCTGCCACAGGGCTAACCAAGTAGCTATCAGTAAACGAGCTTCTCTATATATATAGAAATGTATATATACAGAGGGCCGTGCTCAATGTGTACATTAAGTATACGCCTTGTTTGTTATTCATAGTGCACAAATACAACAAAAACAAAAGAAGGAACTGCAGCTCACTTCTTGAATATTTGTCTATGTGTGTATGTGTGTGTGTGTGTGTGTGTATTTGTGTGCGCTTGTTAATGTGAGTGACCCGACGGCAACATGCAATGCTGATTATTATTGCGTGCCATAAATCAAAGCCGTAATCGAGTTATGCGCGCGCCTTGGTGTATGCAGCATCTGTTTTATCACGTAGTACTTGGCACAATTGGGAACGAGATTAAGCATAAAGCAGGTGGGTTACGTTCAACTTGAAAGCCAGTTGTTGCTGTTGTTGTTGGTAGAGCAGTTGCTCTATCCAGCAATTGGCCTCCACCTCAAATGTTATTAATGAGCACTTTGCATGCAGATGAATTAAGTGAGTATTGCTTTCGAATCCATTTAATAGCAGTGATAAGTGCAATAACTTGAATATGCATAAAATATAAGTACCGTTAATTTCAATAATTTCAAAATTAATTAATAATTCAATCGAATTTTATTTACAATATCTGATTCTATAAAAATTCTTTATGTGTTTTTTTTTTATTTGAAAAAAAGTACTTTAAAAATGAGTATTAAATATATTTAAAAATAATGTAAAAATGGCTACATTTTTATTTTATTTTATAAATTTTTAATTATTTATTAACATTTATTTTTTTGTAGTTTTTTTTGTAATTGCTGAAGTAGAAAAGTAGATGGAGAAGTGAAATATATCATTTTTTTTTTAATTTAAATAAAATGCATTTCTCAGAATAGTTGCCATCGTATCGCTTATTGAGTCCGCCTACGCAAGGCAAATGCCATTAAGTCAAAATACAATTTGCAAGTGCGAGATTTGCAGCCATAAATAATTTTGCATTGAGTAGTGAATGTCGACATTAAGGCGGCATTGAGAGTGAAAATGTTTTATGGTAGAGACGATATTTGATATATTGTTTTGAAGCCATCGGGACAAATTGAGTTTGCTGCAAATTGTGTATTTGCATCGCTTTGCGCTGAGCTCTTTAGCCACTTGCCTGGGCATGCAAAGTGGAGCAAGTTTTAAGAAAACTTTAAGACGTCCTTATGAAAGAGTAGGAAAACTTGATCGCACTTCTCGCCTACTCGAGTGGAACCGTTTGACCTCCATGGCCAGGAGAAAATGCAATAGCGTTTCGACGTTGAGAACTCGAAATGAAAAAAGAATTTTCTATCTACTATTTTTTGTTGGTCTATTTCAGTGTTTTTCCATGCCATTTCCATTGGACTCGTTTTTGAGTGAATGCACACGCGCACACACACACACACAGACACGCACACAGCGAAGCATTATCACAGCACAGCAGAGCCATTTCCGACGTCATAGCTGTTTGTTAGTTGGAACGGATAAATCCAGCAGATAGCGACGATAAGATGGGCAAATAGGTCAGAGGAACGACGGAAATGGCTTTGACAGCTTAATCCCGTCGAATATTTTCTCTAATTTGCTGCGGTAATTTCCCCTTTGACATATACATTTCATTCGCCATCAACTTCAACGCAGCGCCATAAAATAAATATTGCAAAAGCTCTTGCTTCTGCGGCACTTGAAGCGCTTTTGCAATTCAAATAACATGCAGCCTGTCCTGTCCCAATCCAATATATAATTCATCAATGCCATTGCCTGCACCATGCATCCGAGCAATGGGGTCACCAAATCGAATCTATAGCTGCGTATCTATAGACACTCATAGTTTTATGCATTTGGCAAAAAGTTGCAATTGCTTTAATTAAGAATCTGCGCAAACTTTCGCTTGAGAGTTATTGAAATTCGCAATTAATGAATGCAAGTTATTGAAATACTAAAACTGTGTCAATTAAGTTTGTAAAATATGGAATGCTTAGAACAAATTGTGATGCAAAAAACTCAGCGAAGTCAAGTTAAAGCTAAAAGTTATTAAAGAGACTTGCAATTGATCAAAATTGTCTTTAGATATTTGAATTGATTCAGCTAAACAGTTTCTATATTATATATTATATTTCGAATAGACCATTAAATTCTTAAGCCTCTTCAAGTGAACATGGATAGTTCAAGGTAGTCTTAAACTTAATCAGTTGGCTGTACGCCTCGGCATACGACACTGCAGCACGCTTTCAACAGCAAAATATTGCATATTTTTATATATATATTTCTGCAGAAAGAGTGGGAGAAATACAATATGTTGCACTTCGGTATCAATTAAAAATAATTAATATTCAATTTACATTTTAAAAGCATTTTATTTCACAATAATTTAACTTCAATTTGATACTAATTGAACTTTTTGCATTTTAAATATGGCTCTGGGTCAACTTCTCTTTAACAGGCTTCTGCTCTGATTCATGATAAATACATATTTTCTGTGAGGCAACTAATTATTGTTGAAAATATGCAGATTTCGTTAAGCTGCTGCTTTTGCTTTTGCTTTTGGCCAAAGTCAACAGTAAGTAATTGCACAAATCGGAGACATTTTTATAATGCCCGCCACGCGCACCTTGAATTTTAAATGCATGCGGCTGTTTGGCTGCTGCTTGTCAAATATCACGCATACGACACGCATTACAGCCAGAGAGCACTCGAAGCTCATCGCTGGGCCATAATATTCAATGTAAGCTAATTAAATATTTAATCAGGTTAAAGCTTAAACGTTTTAATGCGCAAATCTTCATTAGCTACAAATTGGGGAATGGCAAGCCATAGAACGTTGCACTTCGAAATGCTCTCTCGCTCCCTCCCTCCCTCTCTCCGTCTGAGGTAAGAGCGAGACCCAGATTCGTTGCCATATGCATACACACATACATGTATGCAAATTGTGTGGACTAAGTACTATTTTGTGTTGTTTTCCCAAGCATTGCCCGTTTGTTCATTTGCCTAATTGTGTTTAGCAATACTGGAAGTCTGGATGGTGGAAATGCGACTTGGCGTGGGAATGTTGTACAAGTGCTGGAATGAAATGGCATTCAAGGCAGGTCCTTTAGCTTCTAAATAGCAATGACAGCCGCAACAGCAGCAGCAGCAGCAGCACGCTAAGGAATAGCAGCAGCTGCCACACAAAGGACAGCGCTTGCCGCTTCTTAGCGCGCCTTGCATGCAGTCATGCAATGCTACTTGAATAAAAACTAAACAAAAACGCAAGCCAAGCCCTGTCTAAGCCACATTTGTGCACACCGTGGTGCAAATGGTCTTCTGACATTCTAAGGATGGTATTTTGTAATGGATAACTTTAATTATATGTACTTCAATATACACTTAAAGTGTGTGTAGCTTAACTAAAAGGATTTTATTTGGACTCAAATGCCTGCAATTGTTTTTATATTTCTGTTTCATAAGAAGTTCACAAATCCTCTTAAATTCAGCAAAAAGGCAGTTGGAATTGAGACGTTTTAAAATTCATTTTATGCAAGACAAAAAATATATAAATGGCTTAGCCAAGCACAAACATTTGTGGTTTGCTGCTGGCTGAATTAAAGAAACGAAATTTGCTTAAATCAGAGCTTTACTATGGAATCCTAACAATAAATTTATGTATAAATTTATTTCTTATATGAAAATGTTAAGAGTATTAAACATATTTAGAGTATTCATTGAATGTAGAGGGGCAGTTTCCACAGCAGCTTTAAAACATAACCCGAACTGTCGACTGGTTTTTCCATTTCGGCCTGGTAAGTACCACTGTGCAATTGGCAATGCTGAGCTCTTGTCATTGCCCGCTGCTTTCATGCTATTTTCACGGACAGGCAGCGAGGAGTGGCTAGAACTAGAAAAGCAATCGTCTAACTAACCAGCTCGCCAACTAGCAACTATCTAAATAAAAAAGCCTGACAATGGCGACACGCGACCTTAACGAAACCGCAATTATATATATATATATCTATATATAAATATATATTTATGTATCAGCATATATATATACTTATATAAATTGCATTTTTTATTTGCGTGCCACTCGGCATAGCGAGCACAATTACACAATTGAATTTTTGGCATGCTCCGAACGCCCGCCCAGATCGAAAGTAAATCTTGAGGTGCCCGCAAAGACAATAAATCAACGCCAATTATACTCTAGAAATTCTACTTCTAGCTATACTTTTTCTACACTCTGTGTGTCCAACTTTTCATTGTGGGCTGGACGAATGATAAACGACTACGAGCAACGAGCCAACAGAAATTGCAACACTTTTCAATCTGCTCCAAAATCTAGTCGAAAAAAGCAGAGAAACGACTTAATAATGAACCAGCCCACTTCGTGTCGACATGTGAGAAATATTTTCACAAATTGAAATATGCATTGGCATTCCAAAGCACTTGCATGTGTGGCTCATAAACCTCGGCATTCTCTCGCGTCCTTTGGCACTGCACCGAACTGGTCTAAAATTAGCCAATATTGACATTTAAGCTTTGGCCACTTACGAACGTGGCTTCATGCTGCTTAACGCCTGTGAGGGATCAAGACTCTATTTGCCAGTTGGCATTCGCATGCCTCACTGAAGCATAATAGGTTAGTGGGGCACACTTAATTGATTTATAATGCACTCACCGACAGGTCCCGATGCTGATGCTCGATAAATAATTAAATTGGGCTGACTGAATGCATTAGCAACGGCACGGCTACAGTCTGGCACCTGCATGTGTGCGTGGCAGAAGGCCAATGACCTT